CTAGAAGTCCCTCACCCTGTCCATGCTTGAACAAAGATACCCACGAGAAGCATGGATAAGGATCTATACAGACGGATCTGCCACTGATGCTGTGAAAGAGGAGGAGCCGGAGTGTACGTACAATTCCCAAATGGACGACGACAAGCAGAGGCAGTCCCAACAGGGCGGCACTGTACACACTACAGGGCAGAGACGGAGGCTCTAATACATGCAGCAAACATCATCAAGAATGTGGTAGACCCCCAAAGCCAAGTAGTGTTCCTAACAGATGCCATGTCAGTACTGCAGGCAATCACTTCCGGCAAACTACCAAGGGTACGAAAAGAAATTGAGGACATCCCATGTCTGAGGATCAAGCTGCAGTGGATTCCATCACACTGTGGTGTCTTAGGAAATGAGCAGGCTGACAGGATGGCCAAACTAGGAGCTCAGAAAGAGCAACCAGACAACAGCGTTAACTACACAGAAATAAAAAATATCATAAATACACTATTTAAAGCACCACAGACACCAGATGGCTACCATGAGCTGTCCCGCCAAGAACAAGTGATTATCTTCAGACTAAGGACACAACACACTAGACTGAGACAACATATGTACAAATGTTTTAAACTACTACAATCACCAAAATGCCAGTGTGGAGAGGCAGACCAAACTGTTGAACACATCCTTCAGCACTGCAAGACACACAGGGCCCCGAGACAGGAAACGTGGCCAACCCCTCTGACGCTGCAAGAGAAGCTATATGGGCCGACAGATGAACTGAGCAGGACGGCCCAATTTATGACAGATACCAGACTTCAAGTGTGATGCGATCGAGAAGACGAAAAAGAAGCTAATGAATCGTTTTGGAACGGAGTTAATTCACTCGGTGCTGAGGGGGATGACCTATCATGACTGCCCTTTGACAGTCCGCTACTACACGATACACAACGAACAGCAGTGCCAAATTCAGTTCGTGCTCAAAAGAATATTTTCCAGAAGTGATTTTTTCCCCTCTTCATCTTCATAGATCACGTTTGTCACTTCAGACTAAAATAAAATGACTACTAGATTCCATTTCCTGCAATCGGATTTTATGTTAAATACCTTTGATAGTAGATCTAGTTTTGTTGGAAAGGAGTTTATCAGTTGGTTGGAGCAGAAACACGACACCGCATATTATTTAAACAAAGAAAAAAAACTGTTTGAAAAGGGAGGTTGCTAAAGTGATTGCTCGGAAATATAGTAAGGGCAGTGGAAGAACCCGTGGGGGAAATCCAACAATAAGCCCCCCCCCCCCAAAAACGATTCATTTATTCGGTTATTCGTTTTTTTTAGAGAAACAGGTACCTAGTTATTCGGTTTTTTGAAAAGCGAATAATGCCCAGGCCTAGCAAAAAGGCCAAGCAACAATAATTCGGTTATTAAAAATCCGAACAAATAGATACCTGTACGTCTAAAATTCGAAAAAAAATTGAAGACGGCCTATGCACGAAGGTAGCTAGTGAGACAATTCGCTTTCAAGGGGATCCATATTATTATAATAGTGGAGTCCGCATAAACTGAATCTACCCAATCACCGAATTTTGTTCGGTTTAGTCGGGTTTTGTTTCATTTTATTAGACAGATTGCTCAACTAACAATGATGATGATTGTCGACGGGAATACTGGACTTTCGGCAAATTTCACATTTGAAAGGTTATTATTTCTAATCCACCTCTCTCCGTAAGTTCAATTTAAGCTGCTGGCAGTACGTGTTGTGCTTTCTCAGCAAAACGAAAAAGTAAATCTGCACCCTGTGCTGTAGGTACACTGTGCCGTGCTCTGCGTCCAGGCTCAAGACGTGACCAATCCCAATGCCAGTGATAAGACAAGATAAGATAGGCCCGTCTTTATTGTCCAGATTCTAGCATATTGGTTTTGTGTTTCAGGACGTGCACGCACGCACAGAGAGAGAGAGAGAGAGAGAGAGAGAGAGAGAGAGAGAGAGAGAGAGAGAGAGAGAGAGAGAGAGAGAGAGAGAGAGAGTGAGTGAGTGAGTGAGTGAGAGAGGGGGAGACACATACACACAGACACACACACACACACACACACACACACACACACACACACACACACACACACACACACACACACACAAACGTGCATGTGCACACACACACACACACACACACACACACACACACACACATATATATATATATATATATATATATATATATATATATATATATATTATACACCCTCTCACATACATCCTCTCCTCCACACGCAACTGTGCAAATAGCCATCCTAATGCAATAGTAAATGCTTGCACGTCATGAAATACACCACGCGTCATCACATTTTGAGGAGGGCCCAAGTGATCTAACTTTGCAGAGACAATAAAATAGGCCATGTTCAACCAAAGACAGCACGACAGACATAATACATGTTGCTGTCCTTTTGTCACTCGGCCATTATAACTCAGTTTTTAGGCTCATTGATGAGCATGATAAACGTTGGCAAACAGGAGTGGGCTCTCTCTTTCTCTCTCTCTCCCTCCCCTCTCACCCCCCCCCCCTCTCTCTCTCTCTCTCTCTCTCTCTCTCTCTCTCTCTCTCTCTCTCTCTCTCTCTCTCTCTCTCTGACATTATTCATAGGCTACTAGATCTATATGCACAAAATTGATATAAATTATTGAAGGCTTTCTTTGACTCATTTCTAACTCTACTTTGTCTACTCTTATGGGGTTCTTGTAGTTGAAGATTTTTTGAGCATTTGAAACTGGTCAAACTTCTTTAGTTCATGTTCGATTATCCATACTCAATTATTCGAATAGTTAGTCGAATTTTGCCGGCTGTCCAGGTATTATTCTCTTTCGACCGTGCACTTTTCCCCACTAGGCCTATCCTGTGAGTGCGGGGAGGGTAGGGAAACTTGTTTGTCCCACCGCTACAACAAGGCGGAAGTAGTCAAGTAAAACGGTATTGTACCTTTAACGGACAAAAGAGGAACTGAGCAGCCGTTTCTTTTGGAAACCTTCCTTTACTATTTTCGTGCAACATAGAGCATTCTTGACCCTGCAAGATGCCGAAGCAGTCGCCGAAAAAAGAGAGGAAAGCAGTCGTGGAGGAGACGCTATTGCTGAATTCTGTACAGAGGTATTTCAAACTCGCAGGTGTTGTTTTGGGCATTTGGCTGGTCGGCTACACCAGGTTTTCTGTTAGCTGGTTGTTGCTATTGTTGGTTGTGTACGTATGGAAGGAAAGACACACCAAGGCGAAGAAACACAGGACGGCCATTGCTCAGGAAATTGCAAGAGATGAAAAGTCGGTGATATTGGCCCGTGTGGAGGACCTGCCTTCCTGGGTAAGTTACTTCAACTTCACTTCAGTCAGTGTCCTCTGTTTACTCATCATGTAGGCCTACTGTGTGTGTGTGTGTGTGTGTGGCCTACCTATCCTATAGATCTAGATATATAATATATACTTTCAGTTGTATACATACATGGCATGGCGCACGGGCTTCAAATTATTTCATTTTCACTTCCCTCGCATCATGCTCACACAGACTATTGTTTACATTAATAGATTCTAGATTTCTCTATATCTATATATATAGCATTTTGTAGTTTATTCTTTTATATGTTTTACACAGTAAAAAATGAATAATGTTGACTTCATATTAGAATCTATCCGTCACAATTAGTTTTTGAAATATTTGTTATGGTTCTTTTATTTTTACTTTCACTCCCACACACAGATGCACTGCTTTTGATAGTCAAACAGCTGTATATGTTTTGCTGCAGATCACACATATATAGCCACTAAAACTGTTGCAAATTGATTACTTTCATTCAAGAAAATTTGAAATTGCAAATTATCAAATTATGGCAAATTATGGGGAAAAAATCAGCATTGGTCCAAAATTTGGGAACTAAGTTACTACGGAAAGAAGGCTAGGCTTAGGCCAAGAATTTGTTACGAGTTATGGTGGAAGATCGTCATTTAGGCTTATCCTCTGAGTGAAATTACCAAATTGTAATCACAAGTTTCAACAAGTGATTACTCATGCAATTTCACAAAATGTAGGAAATCATAATCTACCACCATAACGAATCTAATCAATATACATACTACACTACACTGATGATGTCAGCTGGCGAAACAGATCCGGACCAACAAAGTTCAAATGACCAGTCAAGTGGACTAGAGGATTCCATTCAAGAGTCTTGCATGAAAACAGAATTTTCATGACCGTCAGAGTCGGACTGAGGAGTGGAAAAAATCTGGGGGGTTTTCCTTTTATTTTAGCACCACAGTTATATGTTAGTGCTATCCATATGGCTCCCTCCCATAAACTCCGAACGAAATATAGCATGATTTAAAGCATTTAGGCACAGCGAGCATGCATGATTCAAAAGTCAGAAAATTTGGATACTTACTGCATTTTTATGAGAGATGACTTTAACTTTAATCTTAATTCTTCGCAAACAAAACAAGAAACCGAAGGCTGGGAGTCGTTTTGCGAGCATAGACTTCTTGTGCATTGCACTAAAATACATCCATTCAATACACTCTGATGTAACCCCTGTTCACTATGGTGCACACCATTTGACTCAAAATGGAACAGAATTAAGAGGGGCCCTCATGGGCTAGAGATTTAAGTGTTCGCCTCTCATTCAAAGGTCCCGGGTTTGAATCGGGAAAAATTTTCTTCTCTAAATTTGTCTCCTTTCACTTCCTTTCATGCTCTACAATGTTCTGTTGTCTGCTTTCTCCTCCACTTTCTGCACCCTCCCTCTCACCCCCTTTGCCCCCTCCTCTGGGCTCCTGACTCTTTCTGCCGCCTTACTTCTACTGCTACTCCTTGGCTCTTTCTTACTGCCACACCCCTGATCTTATGGTAGGAAAGATCTAACACCTTGTCTTCTCAGACAAGGGCAAAAAATCTCGAAGGTCCCATGTGCAAGTTCCGCACATTTAAAGTTCCCTTGGTGGTCCAAAATCGATTAAAGAGTAGGTTTCGGCTGCCACCAGGCAAAATTCAAAATTTTCCACCCACACTGAAATATTTGGTGTGTCCTGCACGCTCATTATAACCTTATGCGATTGTGAGTGCCATAAAACATCAAAACGAAACAAGAAACAAACAAAAAAAGTTAAGGGCAACGAAGAAAGTTGCACACGTACTCTCTAACTATAGGGACATTGGGAGACTGGTGTTTGGCCCTTCATATGGGAGTGGGAGCCTATGGTGGGCACACTTTGCAGTGAAGTTTTTGCAGAGAGGGCAAAGAGCGGCTGCCTTAACATTGCAGGGTCTAGGAATATTTTGATTCAAGTCTAATCTTGCTTACAGGTTTGAGTGCGCTGAGTAATTTATGCAAATTTTGCTTATATATTTCACAGCTTATATATATGCATTTAATATATTGTGAAAATATAAGGATTTATTTCACCAGACTAAGTGCAATGCTGAAACAATTCCAAATGGTATGAAATTAAGTTTGAATAAAGAACATATCAAATATTTAAAAAACTAATCATTTATACCGGTAGTCAATATTGATGTCAAACACACATAAAAATGAACAAGAGAATGTCTAGATGTATAAATTAACAGGAGATGGGAAGTAACTTATAATGATGCTGTCTTCAAAAGTAAGCCTAAGTTACTGCTAATTTAGAAACTGCGTAGCGATTTTTCGTCGTTTGGTGTACCCGGGGATTTGGTGGAGGAGTTGATTGAATGCTCCCTGTTTTTTCCCATGATTTGATGTTTTACAATTAAATTGGAAATTTTCTTGAAAATATAATTGATTTGTGACAGATATATATATATATAATATATATATTAATTTGTGAGTGAGTGTGTGTGTGATCACCAGCAAAACCCCCTGATTAATGGGTGCATCTGCGTGTGGTAATGGAAATAAAAGTTTGCCGTCGTTACCCAGTGACAAGGTTCTGTATTTTGCATAGCATATATTCCTTGCCTTATAATTATTTAGGCAAGGGTTTGGGACTGCTGTGGCATTTGCACAGAGACTAAGTTGATAGTCTGCAATGCTGTGGTCCTCCCAGCCCTGTTGTACGGTGCTGAGACCTGAACGGTGTTCCAGTCAAGCCCAGAAGCTTAGCCCTCAGGAGCATCCTTGGCATCAAATGGCTGGATAAAATACTAGCAGACACCTAGGTTCTCAAAAAGGCAAATGCCAAGAGTTTTGTTTTCTAAGCTCAAAAGGACTCAACTTTGCTGTGCCGGCTGTTTCATAAGAATACCTGATTTCAAAAACCCAAAGGCAGTATTCTCTTCTGAACTGTCCTCAGGGAAGCGTAAGGCTAGCTCATCAAAAAGTGCTACAAAGTAAAGTCACCCTTAAAATGTCTCTGAAGGACTTCAACATTTATTATAATCCTTCAACATGGGAGAACTTAGCTCATGACAGACCCAGCTGGAGAGCAACACTGTGGGCAAGAAATCATATATGAGGCGTTACGAATAAGAAATGCTGAAACAAGAGAGAAGCTCGCAAGCTGCGCACATCCATAAGTGAAAGTGGAGCTTTTGAATGTTCTAAATGTGAAAAACTTTTCCCGCCTGAATCGGTCTCATCGGCCACAGCAGAAGCCACCTGTCATCTTATCCTACTTTAATTCTTCTATTTCGCTGAAGAAATATTCTCCTCTGTTGATGTATTGGTCATCATCAGACATTAACGGACGAGCGAAGTGATATTTTATTATGTCATGACGTAGGCTTCATGATAAATGTACATATTTCAGGCTGTTTTTGTTTGTTTTTTTGTTTTTTTTCTCAACATAGAATTTTTGAATCATGACAAAATAATTTAAATTTTGTCTTGAGCACGTGCAACTGATACCACTGAGTAACAAACCGCAAGAAAAAGAATGGAGGGTTTGATTGTTGACAGGCTCTGGCTGATCACGATATTTTATAATGTACCAAGAAAAAAAGAGAGCGTGGGCTGGGGGGGGGGGCGCTGGGACGGGAATGACGATCATGTGTAAGGTGATACCTTGGGCTTACTTCAGTATGCACAGAAGAGAATAATGTGTCCTTGTCTTTCTGTTCCCTGGAATTTTAATCCTCCTTGTAACGGTAAGTAAGTGTAAGCTGGCTTGGTCTAAAGTTTCTCTAGAGAACTGGTTTTTTTATTCAGAACCTGGAGTAATGGAGAATGAATGACTGAGTCATTGACGGAGAGTGTAATGAATGGCTTCGTCAGTATCGCGCCTATTGTCCAATTCAATATAAAGTTGATAATAAAAGTTACAGGAATGCTCTTCTTTCATATAATAATGCAAAGCCAGGCATATCATGAAATAATATTATATGAAATAATATGTGTTACGAGGCAGTGGAGTCAGGCGCTTGTCCACTTTTGTGCTTATGGAGTTATTGGTATCTCCTTAAAGCTTGTTCGTTTGCCTTGCTTTTGATGAAAAAAAATACTCAATCTATCTTGAATAGTAGTTGAGATATTTGCGATTGAAGGAGTAGGGGTCGCCTGGTTTGAAAAGTAAAACTAGCAAGAAAATGGTTGCTAAAGTTTCCTTTGCTCAAGAGTTCTTGGAAACTGTTTTGCAAACTTACATTTTCTATTCCTGTAATTAAAGACTTTCCGTAAAATCCACACATGTGTTTTGCCTCACATATTTATAATATAGAGGTGTTTTTGCACAGTTTGTTTACCAGTGTCTGCAGTGCAGCTATTTGAGCTTTACTCTTGCTCAGGGAGACCTGAGTTCAATGGTTAGCTTCTTCTTTCCTATCAAACATCTATCGTCCTTATCTTTCTTTCTTCTTTTTTATGTTTGTTACTACTCTCTTGTAACACCTCTAATCTTCTGGCGCTCATATATGACCTTATGCAGTTGCAAGCGCTGTGAAACCTCTACTAAAACTAACCTGAGTTCAGTTCCCGAGTGGAAGGAATTTTTATGGAGCATCTTGGTCTTTCAACTGGGATGTTGTCTGTCTCAGCCCAGGTTGGCCCTGACAGGCAGGGTCTGAAGCCCGCCTCATGAATTACCTAAATTGACAGAGGATAGTGTTGAACTAATGTTTCTCTTCACTTTTCTAAATGTATGCCACCCCCCCAGGGCAGTGCCACTGACTGAAGTGTCTTTAGGCCATTCCCAAAGGGGGGACATATCTCGTTCAAGCATAGTAGAATTGTAAATGGGCTGATTCATGTCAGGCTCATAACTGTGCCTGATCTACAACAGGGAACTGCTGCTTTTTCTTTCCTGATCCTTACTATTATCATTTTCCTCTACTTCTTTTGTATGTTTGTCACTCCCTTGTGACCTGCTATTTTGGGGTGCCTTGATAGTCGAAGCAGACTTTGTGCTGTTGAAGCTAGAGAGGTGAGCAGAGTAAGTCTGATTCCCTGTAAGGACTTCTCTGTTGACATCCACCCCTTGGCGCTCATATGACCTTATGCAGTTGCGAGCGCCGTAAAACCCTCTACTATATTTTTTTTTAAAAAATGTATTCCAATATAATAATAATAATAGATTGTGCATTTTTTAGCGCTCTATCCCAGACGAGTATAAGTTCTGAGCGCTTTACATCAATCACATGACTGAGTGATTTACACAAGATAAAATATTTCATAGTGACAAGAAAAACCAGCTGAACCACATAAAGAAGAACTTTCACAACCGTACGTTAATTAACATACACGTAAGGACAGCAGTAAAAACAAAACATTTCTTCTAATACTTCTCTTACTAGCACACTATGATTAAGAATTCAACAAATTTGTCTTGAGCTATCGCTTGAACGTATTAAGATTTCTGTTATAAATGTCTCTGAGATCTCTCTCTCTCTCTCTCTCTCTTTCTCTCTCTCTCTCTCTCTCTCTCTCTCTCTCTCTCTCTCTCTCTCTCTCTGTGATGTTATAATACATATATATATTTCTATTTTTATAAAATGGTTTTGATTTTTTGTGATCCTCAGGTGAACTTCCCTGACGTGGAGAGAGCGGAATGGATCAACAAGGTGAGAACTTAAAAGTTTCTGGTGTGCTTTTGGTTCGTCTGTCCCCGTGGTTTTATATATGCACCCTGCATAATAGTTTAGCAAAATTTGATAATTTTTCGCATAAATTCTGATTATTTTCCTTTATTTTATCAGTCTTTGTTAAAATTAACAGAATCGCATAATTTCGCAAAATTTGATCTTTTTTTTGCATAATTTCTGACTATTTTCCTTTATCAGCCTTTGTTAAAATTAACAGAATCGCATAATTTTACATGTTTGGGCTCAGTTTGCATAATTTCAGAATTTTCTTGCGTAAAACGACGGGGACAGGTTCGTTTGGGCCAGGGGGGAAGACTGGGACTATTTGCAGTGGAACCTGCTCTAGTGGCCACCTGTGTAAGACAATCACCTGTGTCAGATAATCACCTGTCTAAGACAATCACCTGAATAAAAGACAATCACCTGTGTTAGACTATCACCTGTCTAAGACAATCACCTGTGTTAGACTATCACCTGTTTAAGACAATCACCTGAATAAAAGACAATCACCTGTGTAAGACAATCACCTGTGTAAGACAATCACCTGCATAAGACAATCACCTGTAAATGACAATCACCTGCATAAGACAATCACCTGTGTAAGACAATCACCTGCGTAAGACAATTACATGTGTAAGACATTCATATGTGTAAGACATTCACTTGTATAAGACAATCACCTGTGTAAGACATTCATATGTGTAAGACATGTATAAAAGACAATCACCTGTGTAAGACAATCACCTGTACAAATGTTCCCTTCCCACTTCCCCCAACCTGCTCCAACAATCACCTGCCTAAGACAATCACCTGTATAAGACATTCATATGTGTAAGACATTCACTTGTATAAGACAATCACCTGTGTAAGACATTCATATGTGTAAGACATTCACTTGTATAAGACAATCCCCTGTGTAAGACATTCATATGTGTAAGACATTCACCTGTATAAGACAATCACCTGTATAAGACAATCACCTATGTAAGACATTCATATATGTAAGACATTCACCTGTATAAGACAATCACCTGTATAAGACAATCACCTATGTAAGACATTCATATATGTAAGACATTCACCTGTATAAGACAATCACCTGTATAAGACAATCACCTATGTAAGACATTCATATATGTAAGACATTCACCTGTATAAGACAATCACCTGTATAAGACAATCACCTGTACAAATGTTCACTTCCCACTTCCCCAACCTGTTAGAGACAATCATCTGTATAAGACAATTACATGTATAAAAGACAGTCACCTATGAAAGACAATCTCCTGTGTAAGACAAGCACCTGCATAAGGCAATCACCTGTACAAATGTTCACTCCCCACTTCGACCAACCTGCTCCAACAATCACCTGTATAAGACAATCACCTGTATAAAAGACGATCACCTGTAAATGACAATCACCTGCATAAGAAATCACATGTAAATGACAGTCACTGTACAAATGTTCACTTCCCACTTCCGCCAACCTGCTCCAACAATCACTTATAAGACAATCACCTGTAAATGCCTGTATAAGACAATCACCTGTAAATGCCTGTATAAGACAATCACCTGTAAATGCCTGTATAAGACAATCACCTGTAAATGCCTGTATAAGACAATTACCTGTAAATGCCTGTATAAGACAATCACCTGTAAATGCCTGTATAAGACAATCACCTGTAAATGCCTGTATAAGACAATCACCTGTAAATGCCTGTATAAGACAATCACCTGTAAATGCCTGTATAAGACAATCACCTGTAAATGCCTGTATAAGACAATTACCTGTAAATGCTTGTATAAGACAATCACCTGTAAATGCCTGTATAAGACAATCACCTGGGTAAAACCATTACCCATGTAAGACAATCACCTTTGTAAGACGATCACCTGTGTGCAAATGTTCACTTCCCACTCCCCCAGCCTGTGTAAAACAATCACCTGTATAAGACAATCACCTGGGTAGAACAATCACCTGTGTAAGACAATCACCTGGGTAGAACAATCACCTGTGTAAGACAATCACCTGTGTAAGACAATCACCTGTGTAAAACAATCACCTGTATAAGACAATCACCTGGGTAGAACAATCACCTGTATAAGACAATCACCTGGGTAGAACAATCGCCCGTGTAAGACAATCACCCGTGTAAGACAATCACCTTTGTAAGACAATCACCTTTGTAAGACAATCACCTCTTTGTAAGACAATCACCTCTTTGTAAGACAATCACCTGTATAAGACAATCACCTGTGTAAGACAGTCACCTGTATAAGACAATCACCTTTCTAAGACAATCACCTCTTTGTAAGACAATCATCTGTGTGCAAATGTTCACTTCCCACTCCCTCAACCAGTTATAAGACAACCACCTGTAAATGACAATCATCTGTATAAGACAATCACCTGTACAAATGTTCACTTCCCACTTCCCCCCAGTCTGCTCCAACAATCACCGGTATAAGACAATCACCTGTATAAGACAATCACATGTATATAAGACAATCACCTGTATAAGAGACAATCACATGTATATAATACAATCACCTGTACAAACCGCCACCTTCCATTTTCTCCCTTTGCATATTTTTTTAACGTTGTAATAACATAGTACGACAGCCACCTGTCTAAGACAACCACTTTTCTCTCCAACAATGGGTGGCTGTCTTAGACAATTTTAACGCTTTTATATTACACTGTGTTTGAAAAAAAAGGACGTTTTTAAAGGGCAATAGCTCTGTCAAGTCAGCACTAAATTCAAAGCAACTTGGCACAAATAAAATTCAACCAGGGGAGTTGTCAAATATTTAAATATCAATCAGTGTGTCAGAGAAATATCAAGTCTTCTTATCTTTAGTAGCCTGACCCTTTAAGTGGATGGTTGGCAGGTGCTCTGGTGTGGTTTCCTTGCTCCTTCTCTCCTTTCAAACATCAATCGTCTTTTTTCTCTCCTCCTTTTCTTTGTACGTTACACTCTAGATAAAGTAACACCTCTAATCAATCTTTGGCACTTGTGTGACCTAATTGTGTTGCCAGTGCCGTAAAACTGGTGTACCAAAACTGAAAGCTGACCGCGTGTGTCGTGTGTCCGTAGATCTTGGACCAGATGTGGCCTTACATCGGGGAGTATGTGGAGAAGATCCTGCGAGACAGCGTGGAGGGATCGGTGAGAGGCTCTCTGCCGGCCTCCCTCAGCTCCTTCAAGTTCAGCAAGATTGACTTGGGAGACATTGTGAGTAGTGTGTGTGTTTTTGTGTGGTGTGTGTGTGTGTGTGTGTCTCTGAATGTGTGTGAGTGTGGGGTGGGTGTGTGTGTATGTGTGAGTGTGGGGGTGTCTGTGTGTGTATTTGAGACAGCATGGAGGGATCAGTGAGAGGCTCTCTGCCCTCAGCTCCTTCAAGTTCAGCAAGATTGACATGGGAGACATTGTGAGTGGTGTGTGTCTGTGTGTGTGTGGGGGGGGGGTGTCTGTGTGCGTGTGTGTTTGTGGATGTGTGTGTATTTTTGTTGATGTACTACAACTGCTACTCTTCTTCCTCCTCCTCTCTGTTTCATTCCATTCTTTTAACATTTAGTTATGCCAACTTTATTAAGAAACAACACTGACATTTTTTTTGTTTAAGAAGTTTACAATTTTGGGTTTTATTACATCATACCTGCACAGCTGGCAGACAGTTTATTTGTTTTGACGGCATATTTTAACCTTATCCGTATGTCTGGGGTTATATTGCACCACTTGTGTTGTATTCTTCACATTCTAGAATACTTCTAGTGTCAAGGTCTCTTTGAAACTTTCAGTATTTCTCAAAAAATCATTTTGACAGACTGCTTTGCAAAGGGTGCGGATTAGGATTAAGGAGTAAATTTCCTCTTTGGAAAGTGGGGGCACAGAGTTCCCCACGTCATGTGGATACGATAGTAAAACATGACGTACGGATAGGGTTAAGCATTGAATTTTGCATCGTGTGTATCAGTTTTCTGTAAACACGAAATGTCTGATGTCACGCTTACGCTCTCTCAACGTTCGGTCACGTGGTGCTTCACCGAGCACACATGTTGATTCCCCGGTGTAAAAGGGTGGTGGGTGCTGGATTTAGCGGTTGATCGCCTTTAATTTGACCTGGAGTGTAAATGTGACGAAAAGTGAGAAGACATGGAATTATAACATATCAAGAGGCTAGCCCAGGATAGAGAGGAGTGGAAAGTGTTTGTGCGTGACCTGAACCCTTGTGCAGGGTGAAGAAGGCAATGATGATGATAACCCCCACGGGGCAGTGCCACTGACTAGTGTCTTTTGGCCATTCCCAAAGTGGGGACATTTCTCGTTCAAGCACAGTAGAATTGTAAATGGGCTGATTCATGTCATGCTCATAACTGTGCCTGATCTACAACAGGGAACTGCTGCTTTTTCTTTCTTAATCCTTACTATTGTCATTTTCCTCTACTTCTTTTGTATGTTTGTCACTCTCTTATGGCCTGCTATTTTGGGGTGCCTTGATAGTCGATGCAGACCTTGTGCTGTTGAAGCTAGAGAGGTGAGCAGAATAAGTCTGATTTCCTGTAAAGACTTCTCTGTTTGACACCCACCCCTTGGCGCTCATATGACCTTATGCGGTAACGAGCGCCGTAATACCTTCTACTATAAAAATAAAAATTTTTAATGATGATGATGGTTATGTAAATGTTACAAACTGTCTCAAACAGAAAAAGCCTAGGAGATAAATTGGAATCTGCCATTAGTTTTTATGAAGCGCGTCAAATAGACACAGTAAGTGACAATATATATACGAACATGGCCGGTCATGATGACCTTCGCGCTCTGCAAGGCATGACAGATATGGTCTGTTGTTGAACATCTGGCCTTCTGTGTCGAATGATGACACGTCTTGTTGTGTGTCGCATCGTGACACATGTTGTTCTGTGTCACATCAGGACACGTCTTGTTGTGTGTCGCATCATGACACATGTTGTTCTGTGTCACATCATGACACGTGTTGTTCTGCATTGCATCATGACACGTGTTGTTTTTTTGTGGCAACATCTCACCACTCACCTCCTGTGTCACATCATGACACGTGTTGTTCTGTGTCGCATCATGACACGTGTTGTTCTGTGTCACATCAGGACACGTGTTGTTCTGTGTCACATCAGGACACGTGTTGTTCTGTGTCGCATCATGACATGTGTTGTTCTGTGTCACATCATGGCACGTGTTGTTCTGTGTCACCTCATGACACATGTTGTCCTGTGTCACATTTTCACTCTTGTTGTTTGCTGTGGCAACATCTCATCACTCACCACTTGTGTTACGGGTCCATTGGCTTAAATGTTCTGGGATTCTGGAAACAGATCCCCCCTCCCCCCACCCCCACCCCCCAAACTCTTATGTGTAGAGGAGGGTGAGAGGAACACTCCTGTTTAAGGAGAAATTACGAACAGCCGTTCTGGTTTAGGTCAAAAAGGGGTTGGCCGACGACAGAAACAGGTCAACTTTTTGTTTTGTGTAAAACCATTGCCCCGGTCGATCTGTGAGCCTTCAGGGAAAATCATGAGTCAATGTGTGCTATAAATAGCACAAAAATACTATGGGCCAACTTTCATGTCTTTTCATTTACCTCACTAGATTTGTTTAGGGTATTTTTTTTGTTTTCGTTTTGAAAAATTTAAAGGACACCTGTTACACATGGTTAAGGTATAAGGCCATTGATCATTGATATATCAGTTGCATGGTCATGGCATAACACCATTGATCGGGGATCACAGTTTTCGGCAGATCCGCGATTTTCCGCTTTTGCGAGAGCTTTCCAAAATCTGCACCGGTGGTCGTTCCGCCCCGGCCTCAATTCGGACCACGGTAGGCCTTGAGTAGCCTGAGACCGGCCCTAAGGCGCCCCGCAGGGGCCCGACGTTGTGTCCTCGGGAGAGGTACTTTAAGCAAATTTTCCTCACTTCACTCTGGAGGGAAATGGTACCCGGCTATGGACAGCAACATGTCTTGTCAGTGTGGTAGTGTTTGAGTGTATGTAATCCGCAGCTTGCACTATGTGCTTCCCAGGAAGCTTAGAATGTTTCCGAGTGTTCTAGGGTCTGCTAGGGTAATAATAGTTATAGAGCACTATAGCATGCTGCAGAGCGGGGATATGATATGCACTATATAAATGTAATTATTATTATTATTGTTGTTGTTTCAAACTGTTCTAGTGGGTGGTTGGCGGGTGCTCTGGTGTGGTTTGCTTCTTCTTTCCTATCAAACATCTATCGTCTTTATCTCTCCTCCTTCGTCTTTGTGTTTGTTACTCTCTTGTAATACCTCTAATCTTTTGCTTATATATCACGTTATTGTGTTGCAAGTGACGTAAAACTCTTATTAAAACTAAAACTCTCCACTCCCCCGCCCCCCCCCTCCCACCAGCGACATGCTGCACTCCATCATCCAAGAACAAGTGGCCAACTTTATGGTGCTGCCAAACCGCTACCCGATACAGATGGTGGAGGGTTTGGATCTCAACAGACTCCGCTACCCACAGCCCCAGGTCTGTTGTTGGTGGTGTTGTTGGTGTTGCTGTTACTTGTTGTTTTCAGTGGTGGTGGTGCTGTTAGTTGTTGTTGTTGTTGTCATCTGTGGTGCTGTTATTTTGATACAGATGGTGTTTTTGTTGTTGTTGTCTATGATGGTGTTGTTGTTGTTGTTGTTAATTGATACAGATGGTGGTGTTGTTGTTGTTAATTGATACAGATGGTGGTGTTGTTGTTGTCTATGACGGTGGTGGTGTTGTTGTCTATGACGGTGGTGTTGTTGTTGTTAGTTGATACAGATGGTGAAGGGTTTGGATCTCAACAGACTCCGCTACCCACAGCCCCAGGTCTGTTGTTGGTGTTGCTGTTACTTGTTGTTGTTTTCAGTGGTGGTGGTGCTGCTAGTTGTTGTTGTTGTTGTTGTTGTCATCTGTGGTGCTGTCATTTTGATACAGATGGTGTTGTTGTTGTTGTTGTCAGTGGTGCTGTTAGTTGATACAGATGGTGTTGTTGTCAGTGGTGCTGTTAGTTGATACAGATGTTGTTGTTATTGTTGTCAGTGGTGCTGTTAGTTGATACAGATGGTGGAGGGTTTGGATCTCAACAGACTCCGCTACCCAGAACCGCAAGTCTGTTGTTGTTGTTGTTGTTGCTGTTTTTTAGTTGTTGTTGCTGTTGTTATTGTCAGTGGTGGTGGTGGTGGTGTTCTTGTTGTCGTTGTTGTTTTTGTCGTCAGTGGTGTTGTTTGTTGGGGGGGTTTTTTAAGTTGTAGTGTTTTTTACTTCCCCGTTGATACAATTTTGATAATTTTGGACACGCGCTTCCAACCCAGGCATAGAAGGATACAACATCCCAGCAGAAAGATCGAGATATTCGCTGAAAATTTCTCTCCTCTAGGGAATTAAACTCGGGTATGTGGGTGGTTGGCGGGTGCTGTGGTGTGGTTTGCTTCTTCATTCCTATGAAACATCTATCATCCTTATCTCCCCTCCTTCTTTTTTATGTTTGTTACTCTCTTGTAACACCTCTAATCTTCTGGCGCTCATATGGCCTTATGCAGTTGCGAGCGCCGTAAAACATTCTACTAAATATAAAATTATAAGGAGAAAAAAGGCCGTCTTACGCCTCGTACACACCAAACATCCGCGTTGGTGTGGTATCGTGCATTCATCTAACACACGAACGTGTGTATGCCCATTCACACCTGTCATCCCGTCTATTCGTGCGCTATCATGCGTGTTTTATATCAACATAAAAGTGAAGACTGAGAAAGTGGGTAGTTGGCGGGTGCTCTGGTGTAGTTTGCTTCTTCTTTCCTATCAAACATCCGTCACCCTTATCTCTCCTTCTTTTTTGTGTTTGTTACTCTCTTGTAACACTTCTAATCTTCGGCACTTATATGACCTTATTGTGTTGCAAGTGCCGTAAAACACTTACTAAAACTAAACTAAAGAGAACTGGGAACATAGTTCAGAGAGTAGCATAGTATGCTTTGCCTCGTGGTCCTCACGGTTATTGGCCTCAGTGAGGGAGCGGTCGGTTACTACACAACACGAGAGCAGACGCGAAATTTTATGGCTGCCATAAAACTCATCTCACGCACGAAAGACAACTATCACTACCGCATGAACACGGACAGTTGGGTGGGAACACAGAACGGGCCCAGATAAGTGATAAATTTTTTTGTGTGTCTCACTCACACGATATACCACACGAACGCGAATGTTTGGTGTGTACGAGCCGAGCCTTAAGAGGGCCTCTCTCTTCTCCTTGGCAGCGGGTGGTTATCATAGACAGTGTGGAATGTATGTAGTTGTAATGCGCACAGAGAATGCTGTAGAGTGTGGACATGTGCTCTATAAAATAGCTGTTTTTGCTGTTATTATTATTATTATTGTTATTATTATTATTATTATTATTATTATTGTTATTATTAAATTAATATTATTAATGTTATTGTTA